CCACCCCATCTATGTTAACTGAAAGTTTTTGTGTAGTAATATTTCATTTGGTATAGAATACATTTCCACTTAATTTTTGTACTGCATCATTTGGAGGTTAAAGATTAAATTTCAAAATATGAAACATTTCAGACAAAGCTTTTGCTGTATCTTCTTTGCTTTTAATTTTGAATGCAAAGAGATTGAATGGGTTTCAACACACATAAGCCAGAGATGTTTAACAGCACCATTCTATTAACATTTACTTAAAAGAAAGCCTCAATGAATTCTGTAAGACTATTTATTTAATAAATATGGGTAAAATATGGGTAAATATGGGTAAAAGTTCAGTTGGAAGAAATAAATGTCTTTGTAGATCTTTCAAAATATCAAAGCTTTTGAATAATGGAACTACTATGCCTTCTTCAATAATTATGGCAATGTCTCCCATGTATGACAATAATGGCCAAGAAAAAGAATTCTAATTCATGTTACATGACATGGGATGAGTAGTTGACAGTTGATTCTATTTCTTTCTTTTTAAAATTTCCATTGCATTATTTTATATTTAATTTTATGAGTTATTTAACACAGGATGTTCATAGGAAATATGAGGATAAACTGGGGAAAGTGAATTAAGGATATGCTATTGGTGGCTAGTTCAAGGCATAAAGAGAGCTATATTCAGTTAGTATATTCTCCAAAGCACCTGAGGACAGGACAAGAAGCAATGGGTGGAAACTAATCAAGGAGAGAAGCAACTTAGAACTAAGGAGAAATTTTCTGTTAGTTAGAATGGTTAATCAGTGGAACAACTTGCCTCCAGAAGTTGTGAATGCTCCAACACTGAGTGTTTTAAAGAAGAGATTGGACAACTATTTGTCTGAAGTGGTATATCTCTTAAGCAGGGGGTTGGATTAGAAGACCTCCAAGGTTCGTTCCAACTCTGTTATTCTGTTCTGTTCTGTTCTGTTCTGCTCTGCTCTGCTCTGCTCTGCTCTGCTCTGCTCTGCTCTGCTTTGTTCTGTCAGCTCGGCTATGATTCCATTCCATTCCATTCCATTCCATTCCATTCCATTCCATTCCATTCCATTCTATTCTATTCTATTCTATTCTATTCTATTCTATTCATCTATTGCTATAAAATAACGTAATATATCTTTTAGAAAAATTGACAATCAGAACACTTTGACAGTGGAAACAGTTATTCAGGAGAGAAGGTAGGAAGGCTTCCATTATTGCATGCACTCAAGCAGAGGCTACAGAATACTGTTGGTAGAGTATTTTAGTCTGGATTCATGCTCTGAAGAAGAGAAGGCTGGACTCTATGGCTAAAATGGCCCTTTCCGACTGTATGAACCTATGATTTAATGTGCCTGATTAATACTTTAATAATTAACAAAGGATTAATTAATATTGTATGTAAAATAATGAATACAATTCATAATATTCTAAGTACTGTGCATTCAAACGATCAGCATGCATCAGCCACAGAAATTTTAAGAAACTGTGTACTCACCTCTAGTTGCATCTCTCCTACAGAAAGTTTCATTGTGTACTTATTCCTTTTGAGCCTAAATATGTATTCTAATATCAAAGTTTGATTCCATTCTTGGTCTACTATTTACAGTTAATTGATAGGGACTGCTTCTAAGACCTGGCACAAGACTTGAGGAGTTTAGTGACATTTTGATTTCTCTTTCCTATTAAGAAAAAAAAAATAGAAGTTTTGTGCTCATTCTAAGCTAGTCTGCTTTTAAAAGAAAATATTTTAGTTTTGTTTACCAAATTAAGGAGCAGTGATATTCCCATTCCAGAATCATGTGCCATCCAGTCAAATCATGTCTTGCACTCCCGTGACTATAACAAGGCCATGTTGCCAGGATTTGCTAAAAAACATGGGATTGTTGGTTTTTGTTCAGAAATTCTGCATGGGTAGTGTAGAAGCTGACTAGCCATGGGACATCACTGCTGCTACTATTAAGGAGCCTTATTTTGCAATATGAATAAACTTTTGATAGACAATGATAATGTACTTATCCAACAACTAATCAAGGAGAGAAGCAACCTAGAACTAAAGAAATTTCCTGATAGTTAGAATGGTTAATCAATGGAACGACTTGCCTCTAGAAATTGTGAATGCTCCAACACTGGAAGTTTTTAAGAAAAGATTGGACAACCATTTGTCTGAAATGGATTGGAAGACCTCCATGGTCTGTTAACTCTGTTATTCTGTTCTGTTTTGTTCTGTTCTAAATAATACTATCTCCATCAGGCATCAATAATACCCAGAAGGCATCTGATAGAAAACAGCTACCTAATAGCTATTAATTATTAATATAGCTACCTTTCTTAATTTGGTCTCATACAATTTTAAAGCCACGAAGGCTAGTAATCCTTAAAAAAATATGCTGCTTTGCATTACGCTCAGTGAATTACTGCTTTGTCAACACCTGATAAATAGTAGATTTATTGGATGAATCTTAGTTCTAGTATTCTCGCAGACAGGAATCTGCAAATCTTTTCCCACTGTTCAGCATTTCATTCATTAAATAGGCTTTTTCACTTGGCATCTTATTTTCTATCACTATTCTGCTACCTCTGTAGAGATACTCATAGATTTAACAGCCATTCATTTAGAAACTGTTTGAAGACACATCTCTGAAAAAAGAACTTATGACCGGTCCTTGCACTTATGACCATTGAAGCCCCCCCCCCAGTCATGTGATCAAAATTCAGGTGCTTGACAACCAGCATGTATTTACAATTGCATCCTTGGATTGTGTGATTTAACTTGCGACCTTCCCAACTAGTTTCTGACAAGCAAAGTCATAGAGGGAAGTAATTCACTTAATAATCACGGTGATTATAGAAATAATTAAAAAAAGTTGGATAGTTAGAAAAGACAATCAACTTCATGACACAGATCTACAGTTACTTTGGTGTCTCAGAAAATTATTGCTGAGATCCCACAACTTTCAGATTTTATAAAAGCCCATTTCCCTTTCTCCTGAAAGCTTACATCAGGATATGTGAATAACTATATTTATTTAATTATATCCTTTCATTTCTTTAGAAATTCAGGAAAGGGTATGTGAGGATATATCCTGACCCCCAAAAAACTTATGAGATACTTTTGCCTGTGGGCCACATCCTCAAAGTGATCAAATAGTTACTATATGACACATGGGGAATCTTGAAATATGATAAAGGAAGGAAGGAAGGAAGGAAGGAAGGAAGGAAGGAAGGAAGGAAGAAGGAGGAGGGAAGGGAGAAAGAAAGAAAGAAAAGAAAGAAAGAAAGAGAAAGAAAGAAAGAAAGAAAGAAAGAAAGAAAGAAAGAAAGAAAGAAAGAAAGAAAGAAAGAAAGAAAGAATAGACTTGAACTTGAACCAAAAGTGCTTTTTTCAAGAGGCAACTGGACTTTCTGGTTTTTCTTTGAAGATGTTTCATTTTTCATCCAAAAAGCTTTTTCAGCTCTAGAGATTAAGAAGCTTCTTGGATGAGAAGAACAAACCTCTTCAGAGAATAACCACAAAGTCCAGTTGCCTCTTGAAAAAAGCATCTTTGGGCAACCATGACCTGGATCACTGAGAATCTCCTGTTGTTTCGATGAAGAAAGACGCATGGCAGGATAATGGTTCACGGGAAGGCCCTTCAGTGTGAAAGTACCTTGTGGAAGGCATCCTGACCCCATTCAAAAGGCTTCCTTTTATTGTCATTTTACAACTACTATGGCAAAACATTAATCAACGTTTACTGATACTGATTGGCTAAAGAAAACTTGTGAATTCCATATGGATCCCTCGTGTTTCCCTCATGTTATTTCCTGTGACAAACAATGCTACGTGCTGGTCCCCATGCCTTGTATATCTTGATATAGGGTCTCTGCCAGACATCCTGTCTTTGATGAGATTAGGACTTTGTGTCAATGTTGTTTACCCAGCACGGTTTGCCGACAACTGAGATCACATCATTCCCAAAATCTCCAGAGACCCTTGAACTTGAACTTCTTACACGCCAGGTCCAACTTCCTAACTGCTGTGTTACAGTGACTTTCATGCTATTTTTTGCTATTGTCCTTTGCAATTGATCTTGCTAGTCAACTCAGTACTGATTTTAGGGAAATCATATAGAGAGACATTGTGGTGTACTGATATAACCAAGTTCAAACCCATCCTTGGACCTGGAAAGTCAATGAGTGACTTTGCTTCAGTCTCTTGTTTTTATTTTGTTGTTTTGGTGGAGTTCCTGGTGCCCTGTAAGCTTGGTTGTTTGCTTTTAGACATTCCATTACCCAATTTGGAACCATAATCAGTTGTGATGTTAACTGAATGTTACCTTTGCAAGCAAACAATCAAGTTCAGAGAGCACCAAGGACTCCACAGTTCAACTCTGAGCTACAAATTTTCTCTTTTATTGGAGGGTTGTTTCTATGAAGACAAAATTGGAGCATTGTGTATACTGCCTTGAGCACTTGGATGAAAATCTAATAAATAAATCTAATACTTAAATAGTCATCATGTTTTGTAGCTATTAATAGACTTTTTTTCCCCTTCAAGTCAGACTCGAACAAATCCATGCATGCACTTTTAATTTATCCGGCCTTTTAAATGCAAATTACATATCTCTACTATATAAAGTCCCTCTATTTCTGTGTCCCAATGAATTCTGAAAGTTCTGAGCTAGGATAATGAACATGATGAAGATGTCACATTATAATTTTATAAAGCTTTATCTCAATATTGGGAGTAAATTTACAATTCTTTAGCATCAGTCCTTTATTTAACACTTCTTTCCTAAAGAATAGAAAAGTCCTATCTTATCATTCTTTCTTGCCATTCCAATTGAAAGAAATGAAAAATTATACAAAATAATGCACAACAGTTTCCTAATTTTTTTTTTTCTTCTGAGTACAAGTCTTTTCTGGTGCCTTTTAAAGGAGTTAGTGGCCTTGGTGACTAACTGGGGATTTCTGATCCTGTTAAATATGTTTGTCTTATTTGTCTTTTTCTCATTCAGGTTATCTGGAATGAATATCCCACCTCCAGTTATCAGCAACAAAAACTGGCTAAGACTTCATTTTGTAACAGACAGCAACCACCGATATCGTGGATTTAGTGCTCCTTATCAAGGTATATTTAATGAAAACCATTTTTCCTCCTTCTCTCAGACTTAGGAATGGAAGTGGGGGTTGGTGTTGGGGTGCAAACAAATATACCACTCATTAAAAAAGGAGGAAAACTTCCTTATCTGTAAGTTCAGACATGCAGAAACTGACATGCTCTACGAGAAGAACAAAATTGCATTCAATACCAAGGTTTATTTGCCCTGTAACTCCCACATATTTAAGAGAGATTTGAATCAGAAATATGCAGTTTGTACTGTGCTATACTTTTCAGCATAGTGATCCTGCTATGGTCAATGCTTACTTATATACAGCTAGTCCTTGACTTACAACAGTTCATTTAGTGACCATTCAAAGTTACAGCTGCACTGAAAAAAGTGACTTATGATGGTTTTTTATAGTTACAGCCTTTACATGATAAAAATTCAGATGCTTGGCATTTATTGACCGTTGCTGTGTCCCAAGATCAAGTGATCCCTTTTTTGCGACCTTCTGATAAGCAAAGTCGATGGGGAATCCAGCTTCATTTAACAACCAAGTTACAAAATTTAACATCAGCAGTGATTCACTTAACAACTGAAGCAAGAAAGGTCGTAAAATGGAGCAACACTCGCTTAACAAATGTCTCACTTAACAACAGAAATTTTGGGTTCACTTGTAGTCGTAAGTCAAGGACTACCTGTAATTGCAGCATTATTAAGCAGAGTTCTTTTGTTGAATAGAATACATTTCATTGCCTGCAGTAGCTTTTTACTTGTTTACTAACCAGTTTTTTTTATTTATTATCTTCTATTAAATACAAGCAAATTTGCATGAAAAGAAAAAAATAAATTGTTTAAAGGCTGCCACAACTATTTTGCCAGGGTTTTTTTGGAGCTTGAAACACATCAAAATATTTGAAATAGCCTGATCCGGATGCAAAAGAGCCTGTTCAGATGTGAAAGGATTAAAAAGAAAATCTATTTTAGGCTTCAATGGGAATTAGCTTGAATTCAAAAAGTCTGAATACCGCCAGGGAGTACTAATTATACGTTAAGCAATGTTATTTCTTTTTTCTAAGTTTCCTACCCCATTATTTTTACTTTTTTAAAAAATTGGTAAATTAAAATTTAGGTTTTGTAAAACATGAACTTCAGGAAAAGTTACTATTTTCTGATGTAATATAATGCTGAGGCTTTACATCTGTTCAAAACTTCAGAATAACTGCAGCTTTATACGTGAATAAGTCACCTTCACAAGTACTTTGCAGAATCTCCTAACCAACTTGAATTTTAAACTACCTATAAAAGTAAATTTTCTCGTATGGTATTGGATATTTGCAAAATAAAGCCACAGAGAAATACAAGTTCCAATAAATATCTGTGAATGCTGCCATTTGCCCCTTGATAGCATTTGCAATTGAAGCGGAAAAGTTACCAACATAATGAATTTACTATATATTTGTCTTTAAGTTGTGTCCCCTACTAAATGCATTTTAAAATGACAGTTGTGTACCTGCTGTAATTCAACTGAACTCAGAATTACTATTAAATCTGTAGAATTTTATTATGAAAGTAAAGCAAAATGAAAATGTGCACTCGTAGAAAGTGAAATGTTTTTTAAAAGTGTCAAAATTTTATATGGGAAAATTCTGGATCATGTGTTTAGTTACATCACATATAGGAAAAAGAACAAAGATACTTTTTTAAAAAAAAAATAACAAATAAAATATTTAAGTGTTGTACATATTTAGACCATGGCTAACATCACCAAAAGGATTCCTGCAAATGTTAGTTTTCAGAAACTGCTGTGCAATAGTTCAACAACTCTTCAGAGCAGTATTGAAGTGTTCAATATGGGGTGAAATAATAAAAAAACCAACATTTCTAATGGATCCATCACAACTACCACAGAGTTATAGAATTAATATGAAGTAAATAAAGGACAATATTAATTGATGTGCTTAACAGAAACAGGGATATAATGCATTTTGTTGTAAGGTAGTCCTCAACTTACAATTGAACTTAACATTTCTGTTGGTTAAGCAAAACAGTTGTTAAGTGAGTCCCCCCCCAATTTTATGCCCTCTCTTGCCACAGTTGTTAAGTGAATCACTGCAGTTGTTTTGTTAGTAACATGGTTGTTAAGTGAATCTGGCTTCCCCATTGAGTTTGCTTGTCAGAAGGTCGCAAAAAGTGATCACATAACCCCGGGACAATGCAACTGTCCTAAATATGAATCAGTTGTCAGGCATCCGAATGTAAATCACGTGACCACAGGGATGCTGGAATGGTCGTAAGTGTGAAAAATCATCATAAGTATATTTTTCAGTGCCGTTGTAACGGTCACTAAACAAACTGTTGTAAGTCAAGGACTCCCTGTACTTTTCTAAATACATATACAGGGAGTCCTCGACTTACAACCATTTGTTTAGTGACCGTTCAAAGTTACGACGATACTGTGAAAAGTAAATTAGAACAGACCCTCACACAATTGTTGCAGCATCCCCACAGTCATATGATCAAAATTTGTATGCTTGGCAACTGGCATGTATTTACGATGGTTGCTGCATTCAGGGGGTCATGTGATCACCATTTGCATCTTCTCAGTTGGCTTCTGACAATCAGAGTTAATGGGGGAGAACAGATTTGCTTAACAACCACAAAATTCATTTAACAACTACAGTGGCAAAAAAAAAAAAAAAGATCACAAAATTGGATGCAACTCGCAAAAGGGGATCATGTGACCTCAGGACACTGCAACTGTTGTAAATACATGAAAGTTGCCAAGCATCCAAATTTTGATCATGTGACCGTGGGGAATGCTGCAATTGTTGTAAGTGTGAAAAACGGTCCTCGGTCACTTTATCTCAGTGCCGTTTTAACTTTGAACGGTCACCAAATGGTTGTAAGTCAAGGACTATCTGTACATATGGTTGCAGATTTGTCACCTCACGGGAGAACTGAGGCCCTTTTTTCCCATCCATTGGCAAGCTAATGAGTGCAAGTCTTTATTTTCAATATAAAGTTATAATATATAATACAATATGGACATTTTTTAAAAAAAATTCAGTGGACATGTTCTTTTATACTTCAGGATGGGACAATAGTCAACAACACAACTCCTGGTATAAATTAGTTTAATTAGGAGAGTCATTAATAGTGTCATAGCTGACTGACCAATAGAAGAATAACCTAAATTATTGGCATTCAAAATTAACATTTTATATTTGCTTTAGTATTATATTGAATGAAAATATAACTGTCCTGCTAATTATAGAAGCATTAAAATATATTTCAAGCATTCTAACTATTCTTTCAAGTTTTCTAAATATTACATAGAAATACTATAAGTTTAAAATATACCCATTAATAATTTTAGAAATAATTAATCACCTAATTTCTCTATATAAAGTGGCCAATGTCAGACCCAAAGCTGAACTGGAAACTCATTACTTGGAATGCTGACATCCCATTTATATATAAAACACTATATCAGGGTTCCAAGTAACACCCCCAACCAAAGAAAACTCCAAGGTTTGAATTTCCACAAAGTTACATTTTATTAGAGATGTCATATTGGCACATCTGGGAAAACCCGAATCTAAAAGTTTCCATGTTTTACCCACCCAAAAGAAAGTTCAAGTCCCTGCCCAACACCCACAAGTCCATCACATGGTCCAATCAAAGCACCGTCCCAACTGGAGATGCCTCCCAGTTCCAGCCTTCCAGATGCAGGGCAAGATGTCCTTGACTCTCTAAGAAAGGAATGTTATTATGACTATATATCACCCATGCGCCTTACAATCCCCCCTCCCAGTTTCCCACAGTAGTTAAATGTGACAGGTCTGAAGGCCTAATGCAAAAGATGGCTTCCAGGCCTCACACAGTATCTTTTTTATTAGTAACTTAATATAATCAGCTACTGAACAACACATTCACAAATAGCCTTGCTATTTCTTATATATTAACCCTTGTACCAGCATTCATCTTTTCTGAAATAGTTTAGGCTATGCTGTGTATGGCATGTTCCTTCGTTCCTGTATTTGCACAATTTATGGCCAGATATTTTGTATTTACCTAGCCATAGCCAGCTATACTATTGATTTCATCTATTATTCAATTTGTTCTTTACTCATTCACTTTCATGATCCTCTTGTTAGAGATCAATTCCATATATAGGGAGAAGCATTCTGATACTGAAAATAAACTAGTTATTGTTCTAGGTTGCACATCTATTCTACATTCATTCTCTTGAATTGTCTCTGTTGGGGGGAAGAGGTTAATTAATTTTTTTAAAGCAAAATAAAATTATATTATAAAACAAAAGGAAAATGACTTACTGTAAATTAAACTGTGTGAAAACATATAAAACACATAGATGAAAGAGCAAATAAAATCCTTATAACTAAATGAGATCAGAGGAAAGTAAAATAATATTGATTTCAGAGTTTACAAAAGCGATCGTGTCCTGGAGCTAAAATATTTAAGATGGATATTTTAAAACAGATAGTTTAAGTAGGATTTAGCAATAGTGAACTTAGTTACAGCACATTTGTTAATGTATGTACGGTATTTTTTTTTTCCTGTAGAAGAAGAATAGTGAGTCTATTATGGCATCTTAAATCTTCAATCTCCCCTTAGTGTATTTCTTTAATACCATTTGAAAGGGCATGGCATTTCAAGCATTTTTCCAGCCCAGATTTTTTTCTTTATTATTTCTATAATGTTATAATAAACTATATTAGGCATATTCTGTTGTGTTGGGTATATTCTGAAACAAAATGTGATTAATGCTATTCTTGGCAGCTTTATTGGTAGACTTCATATTCGGCTTTCTCCCCTTTGCACCAGGAAGGTTAATTCACCAGCTGGGAGTGAGATTATGAATAATCCACATTTGCTTAGAAAATCAAAGGCTTGCCACAGTGGTCATTCTGCTGATTTAAATCCATTTTATTTTTATTTTTATATTTTTTACATTCTACCTACTTTTTTATCCTTAAGATAATAAGCTTCTGTTGGCTTC